GGAAAGACTGTCCAAGATACTGTTGTATTACTGCTGGAGTACTTGAGTAGTTGAGAGAGGGGGTTTACATGTCTTTCCTTTAAGATGAGGTTTAGATTTTCTTATGGTTGACTCTGTGGGGCCGGAGGGTGTGTGTGTGTCATTTTGATCATGATATTGTTACAGTATAGCACTTAATGGCAGAATTTTCACTCTAAATTCATGAAAAGAGTTTGGTTTCTGTGGTTTAGTTTTTGGACAGTGTTTTAGTTACTCAGTTACTATGACAATACTATCATCATGAATCAAGCTTTTTAACTTGATTATTCCTTTAAATGAAAGATTCTAACCTCAATTTAAAAGTTTGCCCTCCCAAAACTGTGAAATAAGATCAATATAATTTAAGTAACTTCCAGTACGTTTTTTGTGAACCTTCGTTTTTTCCACTTCCCCCCTGCTGTAAGTGTATTATTCTTGTGTAGGAAAAATGATATTTGTCCAACAAAATTGAGGTTCCCTACTGAACTGCATACCCATTGTAGTTAACTGTATTGAATAATTGCAGTTATCCACCTAGATTATAGCTTGTATGAGCAATTAAACATAGAGTCATCTTTTTGAATCCACTGGCCTTAGATTAACAGTTTTGGGACCGTTTCTTACCTTTGACATATTCATTAGAGACTAGAAATCCTTGAATCGCAAGTAGTTATTTTTGTAATAATAAATTGTAGTTTGTCCAAAGCTGTAGGATTTAAAAAGGCAGCCCTGAGACCTGATTTATAGCAAAATCATATCTTTAAGTATTGGAAGTGTCTTCAAGAAATCTGACTAATCTGAAAAATAGCAAACAGACAGGATAAATGATTACAAAAGGTCTCATATGGCATTAAAAGAACAAATCTATACATACTGTCACTTATGGAATGTCTGTTTACTTATTATCCAGTTGTGAATTATGGTCCACTGTTAGGAAGATCAACTGTGTTTTTGTTTGAAAGACAGATCTGCTTGATTTCTTTGAGGTATTAAAAGCTTAGAATTTTATTTTGTCACCTGCAGCTTGATTTTTAGACTCGAAGGAGAATTGGTCAAGGTGTTCACCATGTTTTTATTCTCAAATGCAAAATTCTTTCAGTTAAAACCCTTACGACTTAAGAATTACGATGCACAACCCTACAATGCCCATCTTCATGTATATATCCACCTGTATCATGTGTGCCCACCCCTTTAAGCATCAACACTAAGTAGCTTTAGGGACAGAGGGGCTGTCCAGATGTAATTCTGTTGTGAACTCAGTCTTTCCATGGTCTGATTTGGGAGGATTCAGAACAGCTCTCAACCAGGACTATTGCAACTGCAGACCAGAGCTAGTAAGCCCTGCTTGTTGTCTACAGAGCGATGACTCTCAGCAGTGCGTGTTAGCTCACGTTCTGTGTTCGTTAATAGTAGCTGTACAGATTGTTTAGAGCTGCCTTGTGTTCACCTGTTTGGGTAGAACGAACTGTTTCTGGAATGCTGTGTAGACATGTCACTAATCAGTTGCAGGGAAGAAGGGCTGTAGATTCGATTTGTGGCTAAAGTCACAGGGCTCACTACCTTGATACTTCCCTGTGCTGTAAGTAACAGGTTTGTGTCCACTGGTTGCAAGTTGGAGTATACTCCTTAGTAGAGTAAGGAGATGCAGACTTGTAACTGAGGGGTTAGGTGAAGTCTGAATGGTATATGAATCACTGCAGACTGTGCTGTCTGGCCATTATGAATGTATGTTTTATAAATGAAGTTTGATCTTACTTCATATATTTCATCATAGCAATATTTGAGCTATTTGCTATTTAGAGGCTTTCTGCAAAGGTCTCTAGTGGCATATATTAAGAAGTTTGCAATTACTCATTCTGGAAACCCATTCCTTGTTACAAATTTTCATTGTAAAGGTGACAGAGTCCTTCAGATCATTCTCTGGCAGAAAAGTCACTGCTGTTTGGTAGTCCTAACTGCACTGCTGTATTGCACTTCAAAAAATCATATTTCAGCATGGACACAAAGTAAACTTTTTTTACAATGTGTTTATCCTGCAGCTTAATGCCGAGGCAGCACCTTGGCTTATTTCCCAAAAGCCTGTTCAAAACCAGCAGCAGCCTTATCCTCTTTTCTTTAACATCATTTGCTTAGCAAGTGATGCAGCTTGTTCTGCAGAGTAGATATCTGCACTGAAACACTCCCTTGCAGTCTGCAGTAGGGAGAAATGGAGCTGCACATTGAACAGAAATCAATGTTGCAAGCAAGGCTATTAGCATGTTGCGTGATGAAATACTTTCAGTTCTAAGTAGAGGGGTTCAAAAGCTACTTCCAGCTACTGAATTTATGCCTCTATCTTTCCTTCTAGAAAGATGTGGATACTTTGCCCCATCTCCAACGTCTCTTCCTCAGCTTCAACAATATATCTAGGTAAGGGAAATAGCAGTTTGCTTCCTATCAGTCATTTGAAGTATCAGAGCTGTATTTCATTAAAATTTGAATTGAAACACTATGAATGCAGAGACTTTTTTTCTGTAACATATCAGATAATGGCTTGATTATGCTATTTTCTCATTTAAACATAAAAATTCTTGAAACACAAAGTGTTTCAAGATGTAGTTGTACTGTGAGTATTCTACCAAGAAACTTATATTTTTAATTTAAAGGCTATCATATTATTTACAATTATGATCAAAATTAAAAACAGTTTTGTAAATATGTTGTTTTACTGTTAAACTATGTATCTGTTAAAGCAACATTACACAAGGTACATATTACATTTTAATACCCAATCACTGTGTTTATGGAGTTACACAAACTGCTGATAACTGCTTATGAGGATTAGGTTCTTTCATGCTTATTTTTTACTTGTCCCTATATTAATGAAGTCTGAAAGGTATATTCATGGTTATTTCCCTTTCAAACCAAATGGCAGAAGCAGAATAGTTCAGCTTTCAAAGCAGGGCTTCTATAGTTCAAATTAACTAAGGGCATTTTGTAAGAAATAGAAATGTTTATCTTCTATGCTTTTACTTAATCATGCATTTTTGGAGTCTGTATTTATACTAGTGCCAATATTAAAAAAAAAAAAAAGTACCTGCGTTATGTTCAGCTTGGTATGTCCTTTTATTATCCCTTAATCACCACTAGCCACCTTTGCTTAGAATAAAATAACTTAACGTGGGATAGGGGAAAGATGCTTTGTGTTCTAATTACTGGAAATACCATGCTGTTCTTGTGGCATCTGCTTTCTCTGTAAAATGTTATACATTGTATGAGCTTTTATTGTAGTAGGTACTTGAATATTTTAAGTTGACCTGCATTATGGTTTTTGCAGACAGCTCCAACCTACTTGTCTGTGTTCCTTAGCTTCTTAAAGTACCAGTGCAGTAGATCTCCTTAAATACTCATGGCTATTAAGCATTTAAAAAAAAGCAGAGATGAGCTGCAGGAATCTTTTAATATGCTCTTCCCTTAATTAATCTGCTAGAGAGGGGGTTAACATTTTACCTCCCTAGAATAATTTCCAGAATTGAAACACGCCTCCTCTTTCTGTCTTAGCTTGGCAAGAACAATGAGGAGACTGCAGTAGCTGGCTCCCTTGCCATCAGGGAGCATCACTGCAGTTAGTGGAATTTCTGTATCTTTTTATATACTTGGTATATTTTGTGTACTTTTGACTCCTTTCTCATGTTGTTTTATGCAAACTCATGTTATTTTTACAGTGTTTGAAGAAGGAAAAATATTTCATTCTTTTTGTGAGGTTTTTAAGGTAGATTTCTCAAACTTTATGTAATCAGTAGCTTGCCTTTTTGGTAATTTATCATGACTTGTCATTTATTCGTTGGGACTTCAGCTGAACTATTGCTAGATCTAGTCTTGGTTTTCATGTAAGCTGGAAATACTTATTTAGAACATTCATGCAAATATGTAATTTGGTTTTAATTTGTGGAAGGAATTGGCATAAAAATAAAATCTTAATGTGAAAGACTGCTCTTCTATAAATTTTGTGTGAGTATGTGCGTAGGTAGGTGGATGTATCAGTTTAACTCTTTATTTACCAGACATTATTTGAAAAACAAACCATTTTCTTTCTATAATCACATTTAGCTTGGAGTTTTGAAATAACAACCCTCTTGAAAACTTCTAAATGAAATAGGATAAACCCCCCATTAATTCCTGATTGAGTTGTGTAGTAGATATGTCTTCTAACAGGAAAATGATTAAATAGAAAAGTATACTCTTGACCATCTGTGTTCTGATGCTTGGCTTGATACTGTCTGAACTGACTGAAGTTACATGCAACCATAATATCAGTGAATTGCTGTGCTAGATATGAACGTTGCTACAATCCTTTTAAATGATTTTGTGTGGTTTTTATGAGTTGTTAGCTTGGGTTTGCTGTGTGCCATGTGGTAATTTTAAAAATTGTTTTTCCCAGAAGCAGCTGTATCTATACAACTGACTTTTCTTTTAGAAAATCAAATTGATACACAGCTATTGTAATTCGTTTATCTGTAAGAGCATAGAGAAAACCTCCAAGTGGAAACAAACAGCTAAGTATATTGTCAAAACCTGGATATATTTACGTTACAGGTTCATTAAAATATTTTATTATTGATCATTTTAAAACAGTAGCATTTTTGAGGCAGTGCTCCCTTGGAAGGTTTTGCTGCTTTCCTATTTTTGTATGTCAGCAAAAATCCTTGAGTCTTAAATTGATACATACTGATATATATGAATTAATATTTCAGTAAAAGATTCGGGAATACCTTTTAGAAATTGTAACTATTTAAGGCATGAGAAACTGTCATGGGTTTAATAACTCATGTTCTTCCCTCATGCTTCAGAGGAGGCCTCAGAATGCTGCTTTTCTGTAGAGCTTTTAGTATTGGCAAGATAATACACTAAAATCAAATGCTGTAGAAATTGGTGCTGATCTGAAACAAAAGTAGCCCTACCTCTGGCTTCAGTCCAAAAAAATTTAGCAGTTATAAACTACTTCTTCAGTTTGTAAAGAAGAGGGAGAAATTCCATTTTGAATTTGTTATGTGGTACTGGGAAGAGCTTACAGAAACTTTTTTCTTCAGGAAAGATATACCATTGAGATGCAGAAAGAGGATTATTGCTCATATTTCAAAATGTGAAACCAGGGAAGACCATTTTTTAATCTCGAAAATGAATTAGATTATTTTCACTGTCACACTGCTGTCCAGGTTGGCACGCTGTTGGCTTTTTCATTTAGTAAGGCATATTGTCTAGCCGTATGGAAAAAGTTGGATACCAGCTCAAAGGACAAGTAGTTGTTTTTCTTCATTTGGTTGCTGAATTGGAAACCTGAGAGAAGGAATGTTTTTAGCCTAATAAAAACAGGAAAATACATTTTTTCCTAGCAGAATGAGAATTTATAAATACGTTGTTGTTGAATACTTGAACAAAAGCAGTACAAGGGCAATGAAGGGTTGATTGTAGTAACATCTGTTTTCATCAGTAGTTTAGTGGTTAGAAACCTGGGAAACCCCAAGTTTTTATCTCTGACTAAATGTTATTTGAACATACAGTTCCCTCTTGGGTGTTCTGTCAGACTAGTGAGTATGTTGCCTTTCTTCTCTTCTCCTGAGCTTTTCCCCTTTATGGAACATGCTTTACATTTGCATCATTGAATTTGAATAGAGAAGGAACAACTATCTTCCTAAGTAGGCTGTAACAGAGGACAAGCGTTTGTGTCCTATTCTGGCCTACTAAATGTGTAAATGTGAATGGGTATCGCTGGTGGAGGTTGAGATTATACCACTCCAGAATACTCTGCTGCTTAGTAGTTGCCACATTCTTGTATGAGGCAGAAGTGGGTTTGCATCCCCTCAGGCAGAGGGGAGAATTGGATGCAGGAGTCTGAGCATGCACACAAGATGTAAAACTGATCTATTCTGAGAAGTTTTCCAGAAAATGCTTTTTGGTAATTTAACTCAAATTCACAACTTGTTTCTGTGCTGCTGAAACTACTATTTTAGCAAAGATAAATTCATCTAGGAAGAAAGGACAGGAAGGAGGGGTGGTTGCCATAGTTTGGTGGGACTCCTGCGGGAGAAGGTTTTTTGGAAAGAGAAGCAGACATTCCACTCAGGAAGATTGACTGAGGCAGTCTGAAACTGCTTCATCCACAGCTGCTTTGTATTTCATGAGCAGGTTAAAGATTCCTTTGTGGTGAACAGAGGCTAGGGAGAGCATTGAGATGTGGCCTCTGGTTCCCATAGGGTGGTCACCACTTCGCTCTGTCACAGCAGTCTGCGTACCGGGAAGCAGACAGAAGCTTGGTTGTAAAGTATGCAGTCTGTTTGGTAAGTGTATTACATTAAAGCTTTGCTTGGTTTAGGATTGGGATGCCAGTGTGACAAGTACAATGTACTAGGTTTTCTACATTGAATTTCTAAAGCTCCACAAAGATGTGAAAACATAGCTGTTTACCTCTAAAGTTCAGCTGCTACTAGGGCAGCTAAAGAGCAGCATAAAGCAAGCACATCTGTTTTAGCTCCGCATTGAATGTTCTGGTATGCTGAAGCACTGAGAATTTCAAAGCACAGCGGTATGTATAAGTGGAAGGTCTTGGAAACGCTAGCAAACTTTCAACTTTTCTGTCATTTCCTGATGAGATTGGTTTTATTAAAAATCTGTAAATCATATGTAATGGCAGAAGTACTGTTTGGTTAAATGTTTAGTGGGAAGTGTTTGGAATAAATATATTTAATGCTTTTAATAAAGATATTTACATTATTTGAAAGTAATTTTGAAAACAAAAAAAAAATTTCATATTTGTCAAGCAAAATCTATTGTGGCCCACTGGAAATTCGGTTATCATTTCTAACATGTTTATGGATTTGCTTTACTAAGTTCTGTGTCATTTGGCAAGACTGTCTCTTCAGGACATGTTGAGTATGTATTTTAAGTAATAGGTCAGCCTGATCTTCCAAAGATGTGATTATGCAAGCACTTTTGTGGAAAGGAAACTGGATCAGAAAAAGAAGCAGAAAATTATAATCAGATTTGTAGTCTTAATCACATGTACAAAACACCCAATTCTTCAGAGATGCCAAGCACCTTCACTGACTTCGTCTGTACACAGTTCACTTTCCATCAGCTCTTACGTTGTTTTAATATACTAAGCAGAAAGGTAGTAGAATCTTCCACTTCAATCCGTTGGGTATATTGTGTAGAAGTTACTTGCATGCTGTACTAATTGCGTACAGCGTTTTCTTGATATTTTTATTCGGTAATTTCTTTACTCCTGCTAGCTTATGTTGGTATCCAGGCCTTTCTTCTGCTGGTTGAGACTGATTGCTATTTGGTGATACTATTTTTATATTTTATTCTTACCTCTTTTGCTGTTGCAGAAATTGTTTTATCTAATACCTAGAAACTCTCAGGAATATCTCATTTTAAAATCTGACATTCTGGTAGGTCTGAAGCCCTTTGAAGCTGAACGTTAGTCCTCAGCAGATCATCGTATGCTGCTTTGAAAGTTGAGTGATACCAATGATGAAGGCAGTTGCCGTTTTATTCAGTGATAGTCTTAACAGTGAACATCTGTACTGCATATGCTTTTCGATCCCTAAGTTCAGGGCATAGTTAAGGTTTGGTATCCTTCCAAGTATTATTGGAGGAAGATTTTTCCTGCCACTGAGAGTGAGAAGAACTATAACCAGTTGATGCAATCGGGAAGATTGTGAGAATATTAAAAAAATTGTAATAATTCCATATTTTTGAATTCAGAAATAGTCTCTTATTTCAGAATGTTATTAAGTATTTGTTTATCTAGTAAAGTGATCATCTGTTTAAATTTTTATGTGATCATCACTGATTATTCTATAACTTTCAGGTTTTTTTGAACTTCATTCCCAAAAGTACCAAGTCAAATTATTTCACACTTTCCACTTGAACTTACTTAACTTAGTAACACAGACTTGACTTTTGAAGGCTGAAGTGCATAAGGATGGGTGCACCGTTGTAAATTTATACACTGTAATCAATTTCGTAGAAGGCATTGGGGAGTCATGTTTACTTCTATAACTGTTCAGCTTTTTTTGAAATCAAGTTAAATATTTTTCTGTTTAAAATTACTATTTATCTGAGTCAACTGCTTTATTTTCACATTCCATGCTCAATGAAAGGAACATGATACAGGCTGTAAATCTCTAAATACATTGTACACATGCCAGTTATTTTTGTCAGGAAATCAAATCAGATGTTGTATAAAAAGCCACCATGTTATTGTTTGTAGATTGAACTCAGAACAATGGACATACCTTTTTTGAAGATAATATAATGCTTTTGTAATTGGTTTTTTTTGTTTCCCAATATTTGATGACGATGCAGACACTCAGGATCATTCTGTGGTATTTGTGGTTGGCTTTTTTCTTCTATTTTCTATGGCTTTCATTCTGGCTTTAATGGCAAATACACCTTGCATTATTTTTTACAATATGAGTTGATATATATTTTAGGAGTTTTTTTAGGTGAAACTATACTCCTATAGTTAACAAGTTCTCCTCATTCTGCATTTCTTTTTACCTGTATGGGAAAAGGTTAAATAGTTTAACAGCAGCAGATGTTGATATTTCAAAATGCTTATAACTTGATTTGTCATACACAATGTTGATGGGTGGGTTTTTTTCAGTACAGGTAAATATTAATGTTCTATCCTTAAGAAATAAAATCTTCCGTCTCAAAATTATTCCCACTCTATGACATTAAAACTTTAAACTTTTTTGGTTACAGTTTTGAGGATATTCTGTGCCTTGCTGATTCCTCATCTTTGTCAGATATCACCCTTGATGGCAACCCAATAGCTCAGGAGACATGGTACAAACACACTGTTCTCCATCATATGATGCAGCTCCGACAGCTAGATATGAAGAGAATCACAGTAAGGAATTTCTGTTTTTGTCAAACTTAATAGATCCTTCAATTCAGAAGTGAAATGCAGGGTTTTCTGTGTATGTATGTGTATTACAAATAGCACCAATTTTTTTTAATTTAATATGGAATTGATTGGTATATAGTCATTACAGTATTTAAAACTTTGACCTTTTTTTTTTGTTCAGTATTCTGTAAGGGTGTGCTTTTACTTCATTTTAACATGTTTATTTTTAAACGCTTAAGCTCTTCATTGGTAAATACTATGTGATCAATTGCCATGCGACATGAGAGAATCTGTAAAGCTTTTGCTTAGAACTTCCTCAACACAGTCTTTACTAGTTTGCTGCATAGCTGAAAAGGAACAGCGTATTTCTTCCAAAGGAATAGCCTGTTTACCCTAAAATTGGTCTTATTGGTATCTTCTTTCATTTAAAAATCTTGTTGGTTTCTTTAGTCTGTCTCCCTAAGGAAACCTGGTGATCACACAATTTCTGTGTTTCTATTTGTATTTCTCCCTTCCTGATCTAACCCACTCTCCCCATTCATTTCTGTTTCTGCTGCTCAAGTTCAAGTAACTTTCTTGATAAGAAAGAGAGGACTTGCAGACAACTAAGTTTCCTAAAGACTTCTTGAAAATACACTGTGAGGTAGACGATGAAGGGAAGTCGCTGGGGGCCTTACCAGTAATGCAACTGTGTTATCTTTTAATATAGAAATAGCCATGCTAATTCTTCTGTGTCTACTCAACAGTGATGCGTAAGCATGACATTCTTACAAGAGAAACCCATCCAACAGCAAAATAACAAATATAATATGCTTTACACGCAACCGTGTTGCAGTGTTATCTTTTTTGACCAGGTGCTCATTTGCTTCGTGCAAAGGCTGTACTGCATTGTAAATTGCACCTCTTGTTTTGCCATCTGTCCTGTGTCCTGTAGCCAACCTGCCATGAGTATAGAAGAGCCACTTCTGAGGTAAAATATAACATGTATGCGGAAAACATAAATTTAAAAAATAATTCTCTCATGCTTAGGGACATGAGGGTTTTACTCCCAGCATAGAAAACACTAAGTACTTGTTTGTGTGCAGATGTTCTATGGTTTTTGTATTTTGGGATTTTTTTTTGTATTTTGGCGTTTTTTTGGTTTATACTGACTTAATTGAATAGTTGCTAATTGCTTTGCTTTTTAAAAAGATCGTTTTCTCAGTATTATTTCAGAAACTTGAGTCACATAAAGAAAATGTCTTTCTCTCTCCCTACCCCTCCTCAAGATAGGATCCTGGTAGAATTCCTACAGATCCTAGTAGAACTCTCAGTGATGGGAAAAACTGTAGAAAGAGCTCAAACTCCTTTTTAGATTCTATGGGATCTGTATGGGGAAAAAGCTATTAGAAATGCACAGCCATGGAAAAAACTTAATCTGGGTTTGCACCTTGTTAAACATCAGAGAATTAACCACAAGACAAAAAGCCATAGAAAACCAGGCTTCACTAGTTGTGCTGCTCATAAATCTGTGTAAAAAGAATGTGGTTTGCATTCATTTTATCTGCCTTCTGGTTTTTGGGCCTTGAGAATTTTTTTAACATTTTCTCCATGTAGAGAGTGCGATACGTTTTCTCGACTAAAAACTGTGTTATCCAGACAGTCACATGACTTAAGAAGCTGGGACTTTAAGAAAAATAACAAGTACCATGAGGTTTGTGGTAAAATTAGGGAGCTGGCAATGCCAAATCCAGCTAGTCTTCCTGGTAATGCAACATACTGTTGCCATTGGCTCTAAGGGTAAACTTGGGGGGGGAATGGCAGTACAATATTGGGTATATGTTTTTTTTCTCACTTGAGTAGTATGCCTGAACTCTAATTACATTTATAGGATCTCTTCCCCATTATTCTGAAGAGCATCCAGACTATTTTGAACTTATGGGTTACTTAGTCTTGTAAAGAACTGGGAGTTGGACAAGGATGTTGGTTCTTTCTGACTACGAGTTCTTCACTAACCTGTTCAGAAGCTCTTCTGCTCAAGAACTGTTCTACACAGTTGTTACTTCTGCTTTTAACATTTCTTTTACTTGCTGGCTTTCCTGGGACAAGAAAATTATTTCAAGGAAGAATAAAACCAGAAGGATATCTTCAAAAGTGTGTAAGAGACTTTGAAGCTTTATTCATACTGGTTTTCAAGAAGAAATATGCTTTTTGGTGCCACGTTTTTTCTTTAGCATTCTCTGGAGAGAGGGAACTTGGGAGCAAAAGTCTGGTGGTAACTGCCTCTGCCTTAGGGAACTATTCAGAAACTTACAGCTGCCTTAAAAATCAAATACTCTGCGCTTTGAATAAAACTTTTTTTTGTGTTGTAATTGTTCTATTATTTCGTAAGTCGGGGCAGATTTGCCTTTATTCAAGGGATTGCATCATATTATGACAACTTTTAAACCCTGACTGTGAGGAAGTTGGTGGTTTTTTAGGCCATCTAATTCCTAAGCCATTTTTGAATGTAAGATTTAAGCTCTTAAACCACTGAGGCATGGACCTAGTGGTGGTGAAATCAGTGGAGGTTAGTCACCTCTAAAAAGTTTCACTGTTTAAGACTGTAAACACTTATTGTCCACACTGGAAGATGACTTTCAGATGAAAAGCCCATCCTTTTTGTATTGTGTATCTAAAATATCAAGTCAATGGAAATTTTTACTTTCTCAAACTTCTGTAGATCAATCTAGATGCTTAAAAAGCAGGGAGGAGCCTAAATTACAGTGGCTGGGCAGATTAGTGTGTCACCTGTGTTAACCATTGGTAACTGTAAGAGTTAAACCTTCAGTCCACCTTGGTTGTGAGGTGATGTGACTTGATTTATTGTTGAGTGAAATAGGCTTATGGGCTTTGACTGCAATGTACTTCAATTTCAGGCTCAGGTTGCATCTGTAGTCATTTCCATGCTTTTGAGATGTTTTTTTCCGGGCATTGAAGCTTTTTTAGTAAGTTTTGTAGTTTGAACTGTTGAAAAAGTGGACCTGTCCAGTGGTGCTTACAGTTTAGCTGTGACCTATCTTTTTTCCTTCAGTCTGCAGACAGTATCTGCTTACTGTTACGCAAGACATGTAATAAAATATTAAAATACGAATGAAACGTGTACATTTTCCTCACTGAGAAATTAACTGGGAACACTTGCTACCCATCACTTTAAGTACGCTTTCCCAACAGAATTCGTGAAGTATATGTATTTATATATGTGCGTGTATATGTAATCTATAGTGTGTGTGTATATATTTTTTTTTTAAATGTGCTGTGGCTCCCAAATTGAAAGACAAGGTGCATCTTTTTAACAGTTAAACTTTGCTTCTTTTCGCTGAGGTTTTATAAGTTTTGGATGCTTAAAGTGAGAGCTGTGTTGGGTTTTGATTATTTGCTTAGACATTTCTCTGCTGATCAGGGAGTAGGTTCTACTGGCTTATCCAGAATAGAATTCGTTATCGATTCCATCACCACCATGGAGTGTTCTGTTTTATTAGGGAAGGATCCCTAATTTTTTTTCTTTCAGCTTGAAAATAAGACACTTCAGGAACTTTTAGAGTAATTCTTGTGGATGGTAATAATTTCTCTCAAACCAAGTTTTGCAAAAATATACTAAATTAATACTAAAAGTGAAAAATATTGTCAAATGTCACTTAAAGAATGATTTGTCAAAAATGTTGTACTTGTTTTTTTCCATGGTTATATTTTTTTCTAGAACCATCCTTACATTCTTACTTCCTTCTTCTGTAAAATCAGCCTCTGTAGTATACATAATAAAAAGTAGTCTGCCTTCTGCAAGTATAAGTGAGATGAATTTTGTGTATTTTAAGTGTACTGTGTTGAGCCTCTCTGCCTTGAAAGCTTAAATGTATATTCCAGGCCATTCTTCATATTGCCTTTTTTTCTCTCTCACTGCCTACAGTATTTTATAGTAAGTATACTGTAGCTGTTTCTAATCTATAGTAAAAATATTTGCATAATTTTAAGGTAGATGTTCTATGGAAATTAAGTGCCCCATGCCTGCTACCTTGGTATCTCTTTCTCCTGTGACTTAAATGTTATCATTTGTTGAAAAAGAACTTGTTTGAATAATAGTAGAGCAGTAGCGAGGAAGAATATGTGCATTCCTCTGTGGTGTCTTTAGGATCCTTCTCGGGTCGTGCTGGTCGTTAACTCTGGAACGACTGATGCTCTAATGACAGGTTTAGCTAACATCAGTGGTGCTACGCTTGCGGTAGTGCTGCGGTAGCAGCAGGGGGCGCTATCGGCACGCCAAGGCTACAGCTAGCGTTCCGCTCCCATGGGGAGGTTTTGTAAGGGTGGGAATAGCTTCAATGCGCCTTATTCGTCTTGTGCTCTGTTGCTACTGTTGCTTCACACTACGCATGTACACCTGTAGCCTCAAAATCTTATTGCAGAAGGTGAGACTTCTGCTTCTTTAGGAAGTATATTCCTCTCTCTTTTTCTCTCTCTCCTTTTTTTTTTTTTTTTTTTTTAAGATTGCTTCTTAGCCATTTAATAAGTTTTTGGATAGGAAGTGGAGAACTAATAAACAGAGGAGATATCAGTACACAAGAGGACATCCAAGTCCTTTTGTAATGATCTGGCACTTCGACCTCCTGGAAAAGTATCCCCCCCCTTGTCCAGCAAGGTTTGGTTTACAGATGAAACAAAGTTATGGACAACAGCAGCAGCATAATGAGAGGGAACAAAGAAAAAGGGAGATAGAAAGAATTTGAAAAGAGCTGGAGCTAAAACAGAAGAAGGGGCAATAGTAAAAATTTATTGTGGCAAGGTTGAGGGCTTTGTGTTGTACCTCAGGGGGTTTTGGGGGGAATGTGTTTTTCAAGATTGATTGCATGTGTTGTATAAGATTAACCAAGAAATGTATACAGATTTGATGGCCATAAAAAGTAGATTTGGCCCTTGATCTTTATTCAGATGTTTTATCTATCATTCTGCCTTATGAATACTGAGTAAAACTAGGATATATTTTCTTTTTAGGCTGAGCTCATTGCTTTTGTAAAAGAAACAGTATTTTTTTTAATGTCTGTAATTAGGATAAAACTCAAGCAAAGAAAAAAGTCTGATTTGGTAAATAAAAGACTGTTATTGGAATGTAACTTGCATTAATTAATTTCACTCCGTTTTACTGGACTGTCTTGAGTGAGGGCAGTAGACGCTCGTGTAGAAGACTGTCATAAAGCATGCATTTGGACTGGATTAAGGGAAGGCTTTGAGATGGAAGATAGAGTAAGAAGAGATATTTGTGGAAGCTGAGAGAAGGCTGAATTGAGGAACTTTGTGGATGTTTGCCTTAAAGCTTGAAAAGAAACTCAAACTTAAGTTGTTTTGAAAGTAATAAAATTAATGAAGGCTAATTTCCTATAGATTAGTGTAATTATGTTCTCTAATTCTTGCTTCTGCAGTGCAAAATACAATTACTTGGTTAGTTTGGAGCTGAGTCTGTGATGACTGGCTAGCTGTATCCAAATAGAATGGATAATTTCTGCTTCCTTTCTTGGTGTGAAAACTAGTTTACATTTCTCTTTCTACATCACAATTATATATAATCAAACTTACAGGGAACAAAAAAACGTTTTTGTTTAAGTTTTTTAAAGTTACTTTAAGTAATATTATTTAATGTGTTCAATGTGTTGAAAAGTCATTAGTGAGGACTAAGACACTGAAATTGTAAAAAGCTTGTTTCTTTAGGAAGCCAAGTTATGAAGCATAAAGGTCAAATTAAGAGATTTAATTAGGAAATTAATAAAATCCCAAAATGACTCTTAACACACTTCCTATAGAAAGATATCACTAAGGTAGTTTGCTAGTATGTATATTTTGTTTTAAGACTTTTTAAGAAAACACAAACTTAGTGTACTCTAACACATAATGGGGATAAATGGCTGTCATGAGAATCATGTTTGTAGCTCATAACATTTTGACTCATACCTTGAGGAACAGTACATTTTTATTTTGCGTTATTAATTATACATTCATATTTGTGGCATGTAACTGCATGGGGTTTATTTCATGATTTTCATAGCCTCACCCTGAACCCTCCCATTCAGGTATTGGGTTTTATTTTGTGGTATTTCATTGTATTGGGATCTCCAAGGCTGCCTGTATTTGTGTGTTATTTTATTCAATTATTTATTTATTGTTGATCCTCTGTTAACATCAACTAGTGGTCTCTGGAGGTCCCTTCTAACTTGGATTGTTCTGTAATTCTATGACTCCAGCCCCTTGGTAATACCCTGTTTAGGAAAAACTGAAAAGCCCAGTAACAGAGGAGGCTACCAACAAACCTTCACCCTCAAAAGGCCAGAAGTTGCTTTCAGGACAAAAAAGGTTTTCCAATAACTGTTCTAGGGAAATTATGGCACACAGTCGGGTTAGAGAAGTTTGCTCTGTGCAAAGCCTCCTGCCTCTTAATCTGCATTAAGGTATTCCTGTTGTTTAATATATGCATATTAGGTTAAAGACATGGAGGAACAATTGCGAAGTTTGTTGTTTAATGACATTTCAGATAGATGTCAAAATCCCTGACACGTCAGTGGGTTTCAGGGGGACTGTACACAGATAAGAATAAGTTTGCCATGTGAACCTAACTCCTTATGCCTTGGAAATCCTTTTCTTAAAAATGTAATAGCGATGCTAAGTGTGAAGTTCCTGTTTTGTTTTATCTTCCAGTAAACATTCACCCGTGTGCTTAGGGGTTCTTAAAATGCTCTAAACATAGCATGCTTTATTTACATAGTAATTTTGACATATCAATTTGTCTTCATGGTTGATGATGTTTTCTGATAATTATTCTTCATTAATTTTCTTAATATGTCTTTCTGGAAAGTGAAAGTGAAAAGGTTAGGACAGGAGCTTTCTATTTTGAGGGAAATCAAAACACTTTTTGTATGTTCTGGGAAGATACTTCATATGTTTAATGGAAACACCCAAATGGCATGTGAAGTAAATCAAAATAAGTTAAAGTATGCTTCCCAAATATTTGTCTTGGAAGAACTCTACACTTTTTACTTCATAGTGAACATTTCTTTTGTTACTTGGAAAATATATGTTCTAAAAATACCGTGCTGTGAGAATGTTCAGACTTCTGTAAACAGGGAGCATTCAACCTAATATGGATGTACTGCAGTATTAAATTGCTGTACCAGGAAAATTAAGCATCTTCACTTACATGACTTTCATTATTTAGGAATCATGGCTCTCTTCTTGAAGCTTCTTCTTGAGTAGGTAATAATACTGATGAGTGTCCTGGTTTCGGTTGTTAATGTACTATAGTTAATGTTGAAAAAATTATTTTCTTAGCAAGTTCTGTTGCTGATAGAGAGAAGTAAGCCCCTGGAGACAGTTTATAATGATAAAAATTAATCTTGGATCATGATTCGCACATAAGTAGAATTCAGCTCATGCACTCCGTGTCTTTTCTTATGAAAAAACCCCTACTAACTGCAAAGCTGCTACAAAGATACAATGCACTGTTATATTTTTAAAATGTACTTTTTTTACTGTCATACTTATGCTTTATACTTTTTCAAAGACCTTTACAAATACTAGTTTTAAATAGCTTTATCTGCAGTATTTGCATCTGAGTAGGTATCTATTTCTTCTGTATTTCCTGATTTATTTATGTTTACCAATTCTATTGTTTTAAATCATATTTAGAAACACTAAAATGTTAAAAATCCTAAAATTGTAGTTAGTTTAAAATCTGCATTTCAAATACCAACACAAAAATGTATTAATAATTTATCAGTAATACTTGTCAGAACATGATTAATACTTCTTTTTATGAGGTGGTTTTCTTTTTTCACCCAGGAAGAAGAAAGACGTATGGCATCTGTTGCAGCAAGGAAAGAGGAAGAAAGGAAGCGTGAAAGCCATAAACAGACCTTGCTTAAGGTATTTTCTATGGCTTTTCTAAGCCTACTGTAAACCAGTTTACAGCAATAATTTATGTCCTAATACTTTTTGCTGTAGTTCTTACGTATCCCAATATGCCTCTGTCGCTTTAATTTTTTTTTTACAGCTTAAACAGTGCACTTCACAACTGAAAGCTCTCACAAACTCTCTTCAGTCAACTATGCAAGTTATACTTTAGCAAAAAAACCACAGCAGTTGAATACTTGAGTGTGATGTATGTAAAAGGATGGCAAACTTGATTTTCACAAATCCAGAGATAAAGCAAATCCAGACTAAAGTAAAGGACTTTTCAGTGATTTCAGATTCCTTGAACTTGGTCTCCCCCATTTCAGGTGAGTGCTCTAACTGCTGCCATGCAGGGTGTTCTGAAGTAGTTTTTCCTTCATTCTTTCCTGTTGAAGTTGTTCCTTTTTGTGGAAGGAGTTAAGCAGGCATCAGAGCAGCAGCTAGACTTCAGCTGTTGTCTTCTTCAGAAGAACACTTATCTAACAGACCACCTGGTCTGGTTAATGCTTATATACATGTGAAGGAATAGCTCTGACAGAGGAGACTGAGGTGCACTCCAGAATACTCTCATGGGGCTGGTGACTAAATGATCTATGTTGCTAATAGGAGACCAAAGTTCAAGGATCTAAGAGTATATGCATTCCATTTGTTGTGTGAATATTGCCATTTGTCTCCAAATCAGCTTTCTTTGGAGAAAAAAAGTGCCTAAAACTTTTTGTCAGCCAGTAATGGTTATACATAAAGCTCTTTCAATTTTGCAGACAGAACAACAAACAAATTTCATATATCCATGTTGTTAAGTTGCCTAGGTAAAATCATATTTCGGGAAGGAGATTAGACTGAAAGTAGTCGCAGGAGCCTGTGAGAAGTGTAGCAAATGTATACAACTTGGAAAAATAAGACACAAACAGAATATTAACAGAATATTGTCAGACGTTTTAAGTATATAAAAAAATCCCCCAACAGTAAGAACCTAAATATATTGGGAGGGGAGGGGGAGAATCAATGTCTACTGCCTAAGAATCTATTTTGATTTCCTGCATATTTGTATCCATGTATATTGTGATTTAAAAAAAAAAAAAAAAAAAAACAAAAACAATGTAACAAAATAAGTTCTAGATACAGTCTTTTTTAAGCAGTGTTGTGGTTTGTTTTTTGTGGGTTTGGTGTGTTTTGGTTCCCCACCACCACCCCCATAAGATACTACTGTATTTTAAGTCTCTTCAGGTTTGAAGTTTTGGTGCCAATTCTAAGTATCAAAGAAATAGGGAGTTAGTAAATAACACTCACAAATAGTATTATTTGGTGCTATTGAGAAGCTAACCATGTCCCTGGACTGGAAAAAAGTAGGTGTTTTTTGAAAGTGTCTGTAGTTCATGTTCTTACCCATTGATGTGATGTTTTGTTGTAGCAGAGGGATTGTTTGTCTTCATGGCCTAGATTTCTCAGTGCATTTTGCTAGTGGAAATGTCTCAAAAAAAAAAAAATAATGCCATTGTTACTCAGATTTCCACATTAAATTGTAGATTTTGTAATTTAATAGGTATCTATCTTATCTTCAAATAGTTAAGTGACATAAGCACCAAATACCAATGACTTTTGCTTGATTTGGTGATGTTTTGTATTTGCCTGTATTCACAGCATCGAAAACATTGATTTCAGCAATGTCATCTCTTCTTTTTCTCTTGCTGATACTTGTCTACCCTATCAGCAGAGTGTCTTCATCAAGAGTCTTCTTCCAGACTTTTCTTATTGCTTAAAACCTATTCTTCCAGGAAAGCTTGAAATGTACTTCAAATTGTACAGAGAATGTAATTCCTTTCCAGCAGAGGCTGAACTTAATATGTACTGGAACAAGACATCGTTACTGCTAACAGAATCTTCACACTTCTAAAATTTGCTTTCTGTAAAATGATTCTTGGAAGTTTTCAAAGCTCTGTAGGAATCCAGCAGCCCAAAACTGAGGGCTAACAAAGCAGTAGAGCTGTACAGTAGCTGAGATAATAAGGAGACCCTGACCCTACAGAACAAACAGAATTTTCTAAATGTGACTGGAAGAAAATGCTAACTATTTCAACTTCCCCTGCTTTCTGTGACATGGAGCCCAGTCATCAGTGAAGTCTCTAAATGCTGGGCACTTAGTCTTCTCTAACCAAGATGTTGGGCATTTAGTGTTCACTAACTCTTTGCAGAAATTGAATGTGAAATAGAGTTTTGTGCTCTTTCAAATGGAAAAACTTTCAGAAGAAGAAAACTTTTGAAGTAGTTTCCATGTCCTTTCAGTGTCAGACAACTATGGACATTTTTTCAATGTTTAAAGCATATTAGATCTGTGTCTGCATTATCAGTCATGGAAACAGATCATGGTGTTTGAGTATAGTATCTGCAGCATGAGGGATTTGCATGTAGTTATTATATGTTTTACCGTGAAAAGTTTATATGCCGTTGTTCTTTATTCTTAAGGAAATAGCTAGGGTCCACAAACTAGCACTCACAGATAATTATTGTTGATCTACTGTTTTCTGTTTATCAAAGAAATACTCATTTGTAGTGCTTTACACTTCACATCTCCAACACCGAGTACTGTGAGGAGCATTCTTAGTGAACTACATTGCAGTGGTGTCCACAACTCGCCCACTGTGAAAAGGAATTATGTAAAAACATGAGAGTTGTCCCATGTTACTTTTATAGATTAAACCTAGGACCATGGTGAGTACAGGTCAAACTTAATGTATCAAAAGTCTTAATTTTAAATTGTAGAATTAGGCTTACCCTGGTCCACTGTCTTTCTCCATAGGCATATAAAATAAATTTTCTTCTCTGTTTGTAAAAAAGGGGCTATAAAAAAAACCTGTGGTTTGTGTTGATTGTTTTTCCAGCCATAGAGTCTGTCTTAAAACAGAAATGTTAAATATTCAATTTTAAAACAAATAAAGCCTTTCTAGCCTTCAGTATTTTTGGTATAGCTTTCTAAATCCTAATCAGTATTGTGTTGTTTTCTTGTATCTTAATCAGGATAACAAAATATTCTAAAGGAGACAGGAGCTAATGTAATGATATTTAAAATTATTATATTAGACAGGCTTTTATCAATTTCTTACCAGTGTTAAAGGTGGCTATCTTAAGCTCTAAGAAAGTAATTTTTAACAGGGATTTACTTTGCCTGAGATCCTTTTAAATGCAATTTGAGATCATTGCAATTTGAAGCTAACAAGTACTTGCTGTTTCAATCCAGTATTTCATAACATTGAAGTAGAAAATTTTACTAGTACATCCAAAGAGTATGCACCTTTTATCCTTCCCCTGTTAATGGATAAAGTTAGTGACAAATACACAGGTTGCCTATGAACTGCTGTGTATACTACATAGGGCAAATTCAGGTTTGCCTTCCTCTCCTACCCCCCATTTCAAAATATCAGGACATTTGTTTGTACTCCAGTTCCAGTAGTGATATGATGAATTATACGAGAGAAATTAAAGGATTCTTAGAACTTATTTTTTTTTAATACTTCAAGAGTGGGAAGCTTTAAATTAAGGTTGTTACTTTGTATATAGACTTGAAAGCTGTATTTCTATAGCAACATCAATTTAGAGTAAGATACTATAAACCAAGAAATCATTGGCTTTGACTAATACTGTTTTCCTCCATGTTTTATCTTTGTAAATTTATTTTATTCTAAGCTCCGCTATAGTATTTTCCTCTCAGAAATTCTAAGTCACTGTTCAAATTTTATTGAGAGTAGTGTGAGATGGCTGACTCCCAGAGAATTATATCTGGTTCAGAAAAAACAAATGAAGTGAAGCTAACAGTGAACTTATGCTTTGATATTATTTATGTTGTACAGTTTTCATTTGAGAGTTCAGCTGCCAGTCCAGGAGCTCTTACAAAGCACCTTGTTCTTTAACCTTTTAAACTATGCTAAATGGGATATATTAAATCATAGCTATCTATATGATACAATAGAATAATAACTTACAGAGTTGTAGGTAATTGACAGGATTTGCATGACTGTACAAGAACAAGTATTTATTGACTTCTGAAATACTGGTTCATTGACAAGACCTGTATACAGCATAAAAATTACGTAGGAAAACTGTTGCAAAATATTTGAACTTAGACACAAGCACTACAGTAGATCTATCATGATGGTAACTTCATTTTCTGTTTTTATAAAATTGACTTTTTCCATTTTTCAGAAGATAACTTTTTTCCCCCCGTGCAGAGTACATTGCAATTACTGCTAAGACTTACAGTAGCTGCATAACTGTCTTAGCTTAAGTGCTAGGGTCACTCTGGCAGCATGGAGGAAAGTATAAGCAGTCTGCCCAGTTTCGTGGGAGGAGTATTACAAGCAGCTCCAGACTGCCAGAATGAGACTTCTGTGATTATTTGAACTAAATAGTTTGATTTTATTCCTTCACAAATTGTGGATTTTTTTATGTTACTTTTCTTGTTTGTTGTTGCAAATTTTGTGAAATCATTGTTTGCTGGCAGTTATGCAAAATAGCACTAGAATGATGCATTGATTTTAATGCGTAACCACCAACCAGTACTATAATTTCTTCAATGTTAAGCGTTTACAATGTTTTGATTAAACAGCATGTTTCTTTCAGAACAAACAAGTGTGTTGATACTGCACCATCATAACTTATTATGACTTTTATATCTTGTTTCAGGAAAAGAAACGGTTAACGATTTGTAATATTGCTCATCAGTGGGAGATACAGCAGAATCGAATAGCTCTTGTGGCTTCTTTAAACCACGATAAAGATAATGACCCCTGTCAGATCAATGGCAGTGCTGCATATGTATTTCCTGAAGAAAGCAGGTATTTTATTGGGAAATATTTCTTCTTGTTCATATCTTACTCCAGGTTACTCCTTCTCACCTCTGAGATCTCGCTGTAGTTCATTATCAAAGATAATACATCCAAATCAATCCTGAAGAGATGTTTTACTTCATGATTAAACCTGTTGGCCACTAGTAATAAGTAATATATATTAAATAAGTAATATAATAGCAACTCATTGACTAAAGAAGAGCAAGCTAAGTTATTATGTGACTTTGCTAAATAAGGGAGGACATCATGTTTGCAAGAAATGTTAAATATGGGTTTTTGAGCCGTCTTAAGGCTGTTCATTTCCTTGACAGCTTAGACTGTTGCCTTCAGTTGCAATGAACAAAATGAGGATGTATGGGCATTGCAAGCGTTTGTAACCTCTTTGTGTGTTGAGGTTTTATACACCAAGTGTTGAATTTGTGTTCTTAGTTTGAACAGAAACATCTCTTATTGGACAGTTTTCATAGCCTTGTTATTTTAAAGAGCAGTTTTTTGACTTAGTTTTATTCCTAAGGTAACTTTTGTATTGTTGGTTTAAAATACAGTTATATTTTTTGTGATACACTTTGTGGCTTGCTTATTTGCATTTAAAAGGTGGCCATCTGGCATTCTATATAATTTAAAAACATAATGTAGAACTTAGTAAACAACGTGTGCCTTGGATTGGCTAAAACCACCTGGCCGGCTCAGGCAAAAACCTGAAAAAAAAAGCCTGCACAAGTTTAACAGCAAGTACAGCTTCCTGCGGTGCCCGATCAACACTGGAAATGTCAGGTACGAGCAGGAAGCCTTTGCCTCTCACAAACAGAACCCATCTGAGTTAGTCTAGTATTAGCTAGACTGGTTTTTATCTAGTGCTGCATCTCTTGAAACATTTTTTTTCTTACCACTTTGAAATTGCTACAATCCTTTCTGTTCTTGCACTTCCAAAGCTTTCCCCCAAACATATGTTTAGCCACTGCTTTCTTGCCTTCTTGGTTTCTTCACAGTTTAATTTGGTGTTAGTAATCACCCTCGTGACCAAGTCAATGTAGCCATGGTAGCTTGAGCATTGTTGTGTTAATGAACAGATTCTCATTGCTTGAGAAATCATGCTTTTATGTAATATATTAAGACTTTTTCCATGGAGTTGCAGGAAAGATCTCGGTGTAATGCTATCTCTGCTTATGGTCGATACAGTGACTAAAGCTGGTTTATTCCTTGTAGTGTCCTGACCACGAATGTTAGGATTCTTTTGTCAAACCTACAGTAATAAAATATAATGCATAAAATCTGTTTCCATGTTCTTGTGAAAGTTTTTGTAGTTTAAGATTTGTAGAATGTATTGTAGAAATTGAAGTGGTTACTTTAATGAAATATCAACTTCCAGCCCCCCATACATGTTAACAAAATAAACCATGTGCTTTATTTGCATATATTATAATTATCTTATGTAAATTACAGTCCATTTAATTTTCTGAATTGGAGACAGGTTTGGATTTTTTTCATTCTTTTTCATGGCTGGTTAGAGAAAGGAAAGTGTGATAGCGATCTTTATCACCGATTTATATTGGTTTAAGCAGATTAGTGAAGATACGGCAATGTGTGTTAAAATTGAGAAGCTGTAGATAACTGCCAATTTTTGCCTTGAAGCCTTATTCCTGTTCAACACCCTCTAAGTTAAAACCGACATTGATCTACTACTATGTTTTATAATGGTGAAGAATTTCAGAAGATATTTTCAAGACGAGTGACTCAGCAATAAAGTGGCAGGTGAAAATCAGCTTAGATAAGTAATTATAGCTTCATGTATTCATTACAGCTTCAATATTTCCAGTTGAGAGTGAAATTTTAGAGTTCTGGTTGATTTTATCAAGAAAAGATCAGTTGGGTGATCACTAGTAGTCAAAAAAGCAAAGTACATTAAACGTACTGGGAAGGTAATAAAAAATAAAATAGTAACAATCATTATGCAAATTTCTAAACCTGTGATTTTGTGCTCATCTTGAACTGTCCGTGCACTTCAGGTCTAGTCAGCTGCTTATATCATGTTGGAAATAAGATGCAAAGAGATGAGAGTTGAGAATATCTGGACTTATTGCTTAATTTTAAAATTGTTCTTGTGAATTGGAAAGGTTACATTATTTTAAAGAAATGCTTATTCATCCCTGTTAATTAAGTCTTAAACAAGGCTAATAAGCTGTAAGATTATTCTCATCTCTAAGCAGAACAATGGATATCCTGATCAGATAATGTGACGTATGGGTTTGACGAAGGAGTCTTGACTCCTGTCAAGAATAAAAATAGCTGTTCAGTGCTGTGAATAGCATTATCCTGGATTGTTTTTAAAAACTGTCTGTTCTTTAAGTGCCTACTCATGTCATAACTTACATTTCATAGAGCAAACAGAATGTCAAGGTGACTTTGCTTGAATACATTGTTTGAAGTTGGTTTTAGATATCTAAAGCAACACAAAATATGTTGTTAGCATTCTGAGTTAAAATTTTAAAGCAGTTTCTTAAATGTGACTGATTCCTTAATTCCCTACCCCCCCATCCAACTCAAATAGACCAAGAGCCTTTCTGCCAAACAAGTAGAACATTTGCAGTCTTACTTGATGGAAAGAGGGTTTTCCAGCCCTTAATGTTTTTGAACCAGATTGAGTACTGTGAATGAATGAACGCTGAGAAATGCAATCGTATTTGACAGTTGGGTTTTGCTAAATGAAAGGACTGTCATTCAATAGAATGATGTTACTGTCTCAAAATAATCTCTTTTACATCACTGCATTTTTATTTCTTCCACAGGTCTCTTGACACGATATTGAGCAGTGCAGTACAAGGCTTGTCTGTTCTTGAGTCTCATTTAGTGGAAGTAGAAGGAGACACTCTTTGCTTGTATGGTGCTGGAGCGCTGGAGTGCCTGGATCGAAATTGGAGTGTTCAAACAGCTGGAATGATTGTCACAGTCTCCTTTATGTTCATAGAGTTTGATGAAATTGTTCAAGTGTTAACAAAACTGAAGATAAAATTTCCTAATTCTGTGGTAAGAATGCCTCAGATTTCAGCTATGTGAACAGCTACGGAATATGTATAGTCTAATGGAACCTTAATGTGGCATAGTCACCCTTGAGTGCTTTCATATAAATACATACTTTTGTGGATTACATATTTGCTTGGTGTTATCCTGTAACGCTGACTTCAACTTGATATTTCTTAAAAATCAAGACTTTAATTTAGATTCTCACACAGGACAGTGTTTACTGTTCAGCCTGGTTATTATTTCTCTTAATTCCTTTGACCTAGCTGATTATTTTTAAGTTGCAAAACTGATGTGTAAATACAGTATTGCTATTCTACAATATTGTTATGTATCCATGATCTCAGGAGACCTTCATTTGTGTTGTGACTTCAAAGATCAAATAGCTGAAAGGGTAAAAGGAGAGAGAGGTAAAATTCAAAGGGAATAGCTAGCTAAATCAGTATAGCTCTTGGAATTACCCAGTTCTTGATGAAGCAAAAAACCATAAATGAGATGTCCCTTTAGTACTTCTTTTTCTTTCTTGGACGTTTAAATCAGTCCTTTTGAAGCAAATAGTAAAATAGTGATAACCTAGATAAAGCAACATGTTACTCAGATGATACGCTTCTTGAACTCCCTACTGCTTTTTTAAGGTTTTGAGTATAACAGAACTTAATGGCTTCATTGAGATGGATAAATTTGTTTTAAGTTTCCCCACAAATTTATGTATCACAATGAAACAATTGTTTCATTGCAGGGGGGAAAAATCTGGGGGAATAGCAGAATCTCAACTAAACTTTATCTTCACCATCAGTTTTTCCTCTTTCTACTTCCCTCAATAATGCTGCTGTGTAGCCAAATATACCGTGCTCATAGGAGCACTACCGTATGGCATGATTCAAAGAAACAGCAGGGTATGACAGCCTGCTATGGCCAAAATAGCAGGATAGTTAAAAACATATGTTGTACTTATTTTTATGTGTGGATGTTGCAGTTGCTTTACTTGCAGAATTAATACAAACATTGCTCAAGTAGTATCACTGCTTTTTGTAACATGGAAAATATTAGTGCTGTTACTAAAGTGTTTATAAATTGTTTAGGGGCTTGTAATGTTGACATTTCTAAACATATGTAGTATACCAGTTGGTTGATACATGGATGTGTTTTGCTACAAAGACCTCAACTGAAGTGAGCTCAAGTTGATTTGTCAGACCTAAAGACTGTTTGAGTTTGAAAATTGTTTGAGTGGCACAGAATAGGAATTACTGAGTTCACTCTTTATTGTTTCCTTATTTAATTTATTGTGGTTTGACTTTTTAAGCACCTGAAGTTTAAGGAGACAAATCTTGTGATGCTGCAGCAATTCAATGCATTAGCCCAGATGCATCGCATTGAGCAGTTGACAGTTGATCCTCAGGGAAATCCCGTTGTCAACTTTACTTTGTGGAAATACTATGTTCTGTTTAGACTGAACCATTTTAATCTACAGAAGATAAATGGAGTAAAGGTAGGACAATGTAGCTTCCTTCTTACTATTGGTCTTACAAGATAAATTAGTTGTTTTTTTTTTTTTTAAAGCAGATGGATTGCTAATAAAATGAGCAGAACCTTGTCAATGCCCTTTCGGTATTAGGGGGAGAAAAATTTTAAGTAGACTTCACTGTATATTTTCTTGTGCTGTGCATTTAAGTCCAACTGCAATGTGTTACCATTACCAAAGCTGTGAAGATTATTAGTTGCCATAGAAAAGTTGTATTGTCTCAGATGTTTGTGATTGTAAATCTATACCTGAGTGGTTGTGATATACCTGAAGGGAAGACTTTTCATTATTATTTCACTGTGTGTTTCTAAAAATAAGAAATGCACAATTTTGCTTGATTTTAGAAAGCACTTCTTTATGTTCGAAATGATCACAGTGCTGACACTGAATACTTGTGCAAAAATGTGCGTTTGACAGACTACTTAATTGTCTATAGTATATGATTATTTATATTTTCCAGTGCTACAAATGATAGCTAAAATATTTTCTTCTTTAAGGTTGTCACAAGAAAAAAAGTGTGTCAAATAGATTCCCCCCCCCCACTTGCTATGTACAAGATTGTTAGTGTGTGGATTTTTGTTGGGTGTGTGTTTAAATATAAAGTTAGGACACTAATATTGCTATTCTTTGTACTTCGTATTCCTCTTTTACATCAATTGAAAGTAGATTCATTTAAGCATATAAAATAGTTATTTTATATGTGGGCTTGATCATAAAGGGAGTGAGAACAGTTAGGAAGAAACACAATGAATGTGCATTCAATTTTAAATGCTAAATAAGTTTGTGGTGTTATGGAAGTTAATTAGAGCAAAAATGATACATAGCTTTAGTGTTATATCTAGTATTTTAGTTTGATCATCATCATCTGTTTTGGATTAGATATTTTACCTGTTATCTGATATAGCCATAGCATGAATGTTGTGGTTTACTTGGGTTTTAGTTCTATAAAACATGCATTAATTGCACAGAAGAGCAGGAGTGGGTTAAAGAGCTTACCTGAATTAACTATCAGGGAAAAGATGAAAGCAAATATGACTCACTCCAACAGCACGGTATCTAGAAAAGAAGAAAAAGTCAGTAATCCCATGAGAGCTTTAAAATAATGTTGAATTTAGTACCTTACTAAAAATGCCCATCAAAGTTGATTTTTTAAAAGGCAAAAAAATTTGTTTGTTTGTTTGTTTTCCTGCATCATATTTTCAAAATCAACACTAGTGTGTTGTATTAAAAGCAAATAGATATATCCTACCTGTTTGGTCTGTGTCAAGAAACAAAGGAAAAAAAAAAGATAACAGTTATTTAAGTAAACTTTTTGTTACCATCTCAAGGTCAGCAAATTCAGTCTTTGAAGGAAAACTTTGAATTTAATAGTGCTTAGAGAATGAATTTGGTAAGTGAATTTACATGTAGCATGGCATGCTTTTTATGCAGGACATATATCAAATCTTAAATATGTATGACTGAAGAACATTTTTGTCCTCAACAAACTTTTTCAGCCAGACCACACTATATGAAGATGTGCACACAGGATTTTTTCCTAGTGTCATTAATCATTTGGAAAGTGTCATAGCCAAGCAGAAGAAAGATGAACTCTGAACGCTGTTTTTCATTAGTCCACAGCAGAAGTCATGGTATCTAGCTTTGCAGATATATATTAGCTTTTCTTTTAAAATCACTAATAGAAAATCCTGTTTCAATATAAAGTATACAAACCCCTGAAGTGTGCTCTCAGACCTTAGATCAGCCCTAAATGATAGTTTTGGATGACAGAAAGGGAAATGTGCATGTTCTGCTATTCTGATTATCATTTGTGTGTAATGTTTCTGAAGACTCTTGTGTTGCCAGCTCTCATGTACGTAAAGTTGGGGAGTAAAAGCAATATATACTAACAGAAGTAACTAAATAAATTGTGTAACTCTAGTGCTTTTAAACTTAAAAAAAGAAAAGTATAAGGAAGCTTGGAAGCTTTTATTTTCTCCCCAGCCTCCCCCTTCCAATCCAGTTATGTTCCAGGCTAGAAGCTGAGTCTTAGTCTGCCTGTAACAATTACTTTGATCCTTTGTTGAACTGTTACATTTACTAAGTGTGCAAATGCTCTTCATTGAGACACACTATTTTAAGTTTTTTGCACTGGTAGTTTTCTCAGATTAATTACGAGTTGTCAAGGTTTGAAGTTACTAAACTTTACAGAATGGTTTACACCAAGTGGTATGGCGTACAATATAACAGATGCATCACGTTTACTGAATTGGTGCCTGTTTTCTGTACTTGGCAAGAAGCAGGCATAATAGACTTACATTTATGTGTTATTACTGTTATAATCTTTTTTGTGATTAATGGAGCAAACAATGTACTGGAGTAAGATAGAGAACATGAGTTTCTGTGAACTAGAGAGTGCATTCAGCATTGCTGTCTCTGTTGACCTGGTCCTTATGCTTCTCTTAACATAAATAAATAAATTAAAATCACTGATTTCTCCAACAGACATTTCTGCCTGCAATGGTCTTTGTTTCCCTAGCTGCCTTCTGCGCTCTTTGTTTTAGACCTTGCTTCTGTTAACAGACTATTTAGCGAGATCATCTACTCTTAGGCTACTAAGTAAGACTTACTTAATTTTAAGTGAAAATGAGCAAATCTAAACACCGTGAAAATGGAATTGACTTTACATTTCTAATCTCCTGAGCTATGTTTTCTCTGAATTTCTCCCTGCATTATGCTGCTGCATTATACTTCAGGCATATAGTATGTGTGTGTATATATAGGTATAGTTTATAAACATTAAATAAGAATATAATAAAAAGATGTTAATTTGGATCAAAATCCCATTTTACTCACACATTTGAGTAATACAGAACACAAAAATTGTCTGGAGGTACTTAATATTGTGAGTTTTGAAGTTTCTATAATAATGGGTTGCTTTCCAAAAATATGTTTTAAGATGAACGGAAATTCAATTTGATCTAGAAGTTAAGAAGTCGCTGAGTGAGTTTCATTGTCCTGTGTTATCCAGGTCAGATTTAGATGATCATAAAGATTTTTTTTTTTATGCACTCAGTGCAAAGCCAGGAGTCTAGAAACTGTGCCAACAAACCTTTGGCAGTTGAAGTCTGTTCATAGTCTGGCCATCAGAGCAGGGGAAACAGGCCATGGCCTCCAGAGGTTATGAGCCAAAACAAACAAAAAACAATAACAACGACCACCAAAAAATAAACCCGTTTCACCTTCTTTACGCAATATTGAAATGTGTAAAATTAATCCTGAAAATCTTTCAACCATTGAAAATCAGTTTAAAGAGACATCTGTAACTTAATGTTGACGCAACAGTATGAATGATACTTAGAGAAGTGTAATGGAGGAACACTTATTTTCAAGGGTTGAAAAATGCAGAGAAAATGCTCTTTTTTTTCCACTTTTTTTCCTTAAAGCCTGTCTTTATAGAAGGTCTTTTCTATGATGCTGCCAAAATAAGGGAGACCATAACTTACCTTTTCACATGTGAGTGCCCAGAATCTTTTCAGTTCTCCAGCATAACTTGATTAGAAATTTTCCAGTAGACCTTCTGTAAGTGTATGCAGTATGGAGCAGAATTGGTATGTCTGGCCTTCAGATATTCCATGTAAGAAATTGTTACAAAATTCCTAATTTCATGAAGACTATCATGAAGCACAGGGTAGCATGTGTATACATTAAAGTTTCCAGAATTACAGGAACCAAAACAAGCACAAGTACCTCATTTGGTTTATTTTAAAGATTAGATGGCAGTCCAAGTACCAGTAAAAGCAAATCTATGTTTTGAAGATATGCTTGGAACAGATGTATATGCTATGTTCTATATAACAAATTTCAGTTAATTCTCAATGTACATATGTAATGAAATATGAACGTGCCAATTTTGAAACTTAACTTTTTCTTCCCCTTCTCCTCCTTCCCTCACAGGTTACTGAAAATGATATTGTAATGGCGGAAAGGCTCTTTGGCATTCTGGCATATGTAGCATCTTCTGAGCTCCCACATTATCGCATGCTTTCGTTATTTGGAGAATCTAGGTAAAATACAATGAACAGAACTGAGATTTGTCTAGAACGTATTGTTTAAATCTTTTGCATACTGTGATAAATTCTTCCTAGGTAAAAAGATAAATATTTCACAAATAACACGTTACAGAAGATAGGTTCTCTGCTTATTGCAGAAATATTAGTGTCTCCTGATTTGTGTAGACTGACGTTTTCACAGAAGTTCTATGAAGTCTGCTGAGTAAGATTAAAAGGCACATGCACCCAAATGCACTGCTTGTGTAATTCTCAAATTGTACTAGTATTGGTGAAGATTTATGGACTTTCACGATGAAGACTGACTATTTTTAGTGGGTGTGTTATAGTGAGTGACTCTAACAGTTAACAGATTTAAGAGTTGGTGCTGTAAGAAAAAAAGGTGCTTAAAAAAACTACTCTTAGTCTTCCATAGATACATACTTAATTAAAGTTTAAGCTGCAACACTTCCTATTTAGGAGATGCTATGTGATATATGTCAAAAAGTCAACTGTATAGAAGCAAATTAATGGAGGAATATCTAGTCTCATCTGTGTTTTGAGTAACTTGAGGACACAATAAACTTGGAGGCTCATAAAGCACATGTTCAAAGGGAGGAAAGAAAAAACCTCACAATCACTAGAACTATCTGCACTTAAAAAAAGACTTTCCAGTAATTAAAACTGTAAATCTCTTCATTATCTTTTCACAGGAGGAAGCAAATCCATTATCTGCTAGAGGGAAAGGGAAAGAAATCTGGGATTGTAAGTGAGGAAAGTAGTGATAACAGAAGAAATGGAGGAGAAAGCACAACTCGAGCAACCTTGAATTACATGACAAAGGACTTTCATATGGAAAAGCTTGAGGTAAGTGTCACTACAAAATATGTTCATCTTCTATTATAGAACCTTTGACTAATACTTGTGGAATTTGTCTATATATCACATTTCAGTTGTGCTATTGAGAATGGTGATTTTGACATATCACTGTTTACCATATTCACTTGTATGATCAAACATTTCATCTAACTGATCTTTGCCAGAATACTGGATAATGGTCAGTTTCTGTCATCAGTGAAGTGGTTCCTCAGCAGTGCCGTGGTCTCAGAAATACATTCTGACCTACAAGCCTTACGTTTGTAAAAAAATGTACCTGCATTAGTAAAATAGAAGTGAGCACAGCTTTTCTTACAAAGTAAAATGTATATTCCACATGTTAGGAATTTCTAATTTCTAATGGAATTACAAAGTCAGAAAATGTATCCCAAAATGAATTGTTGAAGAACACATTCAGACAAGATTTGAGATAGTGCAGGCTGTAGTAATAAAGAACTGTTTCGTAGCTTTTAAATGAGCTACAGAACAATAAATCTATACAAAATGTATTAGGTTTAATCATTAATAAAATTGCTAGCTGGCTTGTTTCAGACAAGTGCATCAGTCACGCTTGTTTTAGTTTGCGTTTCTGATCTGCTAACTCTTTTGCTCAGGCAGAGGGAAATTGTTCCCAGGGAGAATGTGCTGCTTTGAGGCACAATCTTCTTTCTGAGCAATCATCATGAATTTTAGCTCTATGCACCCTGCTTCCCTCATTTGTCCTACTGCTTGCGTTTTGATTATGTGGAAATATATAAATCCTCTAGTGCAAGAAATTAAGTTCATTAAACACTGAGTTCAGTTATTGCATTGTGGTTTTGTTATTTCAGATCCATAGAATAAGAGACAGTGACTACATGTGTGGAGAGATTAAATTAAGAAAATGTTTTAGTTAAGCTGTGATAGTAGCTCTTAAAAGGTTGACTAGCATAGTAAGACAGTGAGGCATTCCTCTTGTCCTTTATCATGGTACAAGCACTATAAAAAAAAAAAAGTGCTTGGTATTTGTGCAGTCTATAAAATATATGCATTGTTTTCTCTTCCCAGTGCAGCAATTCACACCTTGTCCTTTGTTATAGTGTTATGTATGTGGCAGCAGATATTACAGGATGTCACAAGACAAGAGTAAGATAGGCTGATTCCAGTTCCCCATCAGCAGTAAATTAACGTAATAAATGTGATAGAATAAGTTTATTGCTAAAGGTGACAGTCTGACTCATTGATTAATCATTTGTGTTTTTAGATTAAACAGCTGGAAAGTATTTTCTCTGCTTTATCACTCATGTAAGAAAGCTTATGTTTTGATGGCCTGAAGCATGACCTAACATTTTTAACAGTGCCATAAGTCAAACTAGTTAGATATTTATCACCAATATAACTGACTGTTCAAAGCTTATTATGCCATTTTATAGAAACTCTGAAGAAACAGGGATTAATACATTTTGAGTGACTAAAATGGGGAGCTAGTAGTTACATGAAGTGCAATATTTATTTTATTACTTTTTTTTTTAAAGGTTCAGGTTACTTCAGTATCTAATGTAGAACATGTTAGGAACCTTGTCACAGTCCATCAGGGAACCTGTGGAAAGGACACGATACTGGCATATTTTTCTGTGACAATATGCTTAGTTCTTCTTAGGGCAGGTATAGATAAACATATACTTTCCAACTGTTGTGCTATAATCATGAAAAGCTAGGAAGGGAAGGGAGAGAAGGAAGGGAAGTAGTCTGGTGCTTAATTTCTGTAAATATTCACTGTTATACCAGAAGCCAACAAATTTTCACTGCTATGCAACAAAAATTGTAAGGCTGTTAAAAGATATTTTAACATGACGACTCAAAAGTGGATTTTAGATAAATTAATGAATATAATATGAACATTATGAATACAATTAAGATTTTTTGGCCACACTTGTAAAAGCTTGACTTAGACCCTGGGCTGTGCAACTTAAAACCAAAAGGAAAAAGTGTGCAATGGCTTCTTTGCCTGCTAATTGCTACATTCTTTAATAATTAAATTTGTGTTGATTTTTGGGTTTGTTCTTGTTAACCTTTCCTTCCTTTGTCTTATACAATGTGTAACCGTTCTCCCATGCAGGAAATCAAGGAAAGAAAAACATTTTGCCAGACGTACGTCGAGAACTTAGTGAAAGAAGCAGCTGACATCAATATGAAAAATGAGTTGTTGCAGAAGCTCTGGCCTCAGATGTTCATTGAGCTTGTCAGAGATGCAGTGATAGAAATACGCAATAAAAATTCCTACATGAAACTCTGCTTGCAGCGGATCACTGATCAAAAACAGTAGAGTCAAGGCTTGTTGTCTTGCAACTTTTCAGTATTCTATGACGGTTTACAAACTTAAAAAAATAGAATATAAAATTACCATTACTATGGCATACTTCATACCCCACCCAAAGGGATGCCTTTACATCTTGTGTAACACTTGATTAGTTTTGAAATAAAAGTTTACGTGCGTACTGCTTTAACAATGCTTCCTTGGCTAAAGTGATGAGACAGCGTAGAGGTAACGTGGTGGTTGTCGTGGTTTACTGAGTTGTTTTTTGGGTTTTTTTCTGCTACTCTTGCTTCTGCAGTGCTACAGCATTGGTTTTTAAAGAACAAGTTTACACTCTGCTTGCCTTTTTTTTAATTGAACACTTTTCAGTTGTCACTTTTTTGACTGTTTACCGCTGTTGGAAAAAAAAAAGGAATAATATCTGATTTTTTTTAATGAGCAAAAGTTAATAAATTATTTTTACACCCTGAAATAGATGAAGACTTACTGTTGTTTAGTTCGTGAGATTACAGTACACGTTTTCACATCAATGCCATCACAGTGCTTGGTATAACAACATTTAATGAGCTTAATTCCCAAACTTTCTTTCTAGTGTTTTTCATTAATTTTTTTTTATTAGTTTGTGTGAATTAATATAGGTAAAAGATTAATTTAGGCTATGCTCACTTAGGCTTTATTTGTGTTCTGCTAAAATATGTTAATAATATAATTTCTTTTGTTTCTTGATTACTAAATGATTAATTACTGATGTTTGCTAAGGTCAAATGAGCTAAAATGCATGTATTGCAGTCAGTAAGGAAACTGATGACTACTATTCACTTGTAATTCATTTCTGTGACCTGTGTGAGAATTTCATATTTGTTACCAATAAAAATAAATTCTTCACTTTTGCCCTTCACAGATACTGTAAAGAAGTACTGTGTGCAAAGAAAACACTTCTTCTTAATGCTGCTTGAAGAGATGAGACACAACTTGCTCCCAAAATCAACTGTGAATGGGTAGAAAAAACACATTCCGTAGCACAATGACTTCCACTGTAAACACCTTTCCAGCTTCTGCCCAGAAATTGAATTTAGGAACTCTTAGCAAGTCCAGCTGATTCCCATGGATAGTGTTCATATGTGGGTGGAAAGTTGTGCCATTTAAACTTAGTTAACATACAACAGAACTATAAAATTAAAACAATCCAGAATCTTTGTGCATTGTTTTACCTGATTCAAATTGATCTTATTTTACTAAGCTCATTTATGAAAAAAATGTTCATAACAAAACTTCCTGCAAGGGTTTCTATGTCTCAAAACTAAGTTTATTTTTAAACTTTACACTTTTAAACTTTTTTTTAAAAACTTACTTTTACAGAGACAAGAGTCTCTGACAAAGTAGAGATGCAAATACAGTTTTGTAAGTTTCTATGACCTGAAAGTAGCCTTGAATGAGTAGTAGGAGTCAGGTGGTCGTAGGTATTTTGGATAATAATATATATAACATAATATGCAGTCTAAATATATAATATATAATATACAGTCTATTTGCATTCAGGTCCAGCTGGTGCATCTAAGTTGTCAGAGTTGAATCCTTTTTCAGATCATGTTACAATTTAACAATGCATACTGTTAAATGTAATTTTCAGCTTGGGTTGTTATATGTGATCTCTTGAAGTATACTTGCAGATAGTTGCTTTTCAGTTTTTACAGAATTTAATGGAGGTTAAGTCACTTAAATTCCAAGGAAATGTGAAAAGTCCTGAAGAAACTGCTCCAAGCATTTGATAGAATTTAATAGAAACAATCATCCCTCACAGCTTTAACTGCTTCATGGAATTTATAGTAAGAATAGTGTATTTGATAGGATTTTCTTTTTCTTTCCATTAGAAAATTGTGCTGTCAAGTTTTATGGTACATTTTATTAAGGGAACAAATTAAGGTCCCACAAAATGTGAGAAAAGGAGAGTTTACATGATAGAAATGCAGTCAGTATCAAAATGATCATGGAAAAAATTTTTGGATCCATCGGTTCCTTTACATCATTTCTGTGCAAAGGGGGTGGGTGGAGCAATTCCAGCTTCTGCACAGGGACAGAAACCTCGGCAGCTGTGTGAAAGTGCAGAACTCTCCTGATGTAGCTGGAGCAGATGGGCCCCTTTTGAATCAAATTCAGCAGCAATAAAAGACTGGAAAAAAATTTTTTTAAGAAGGGTGGATTGGCCTAGAGGAACAGGAAGTTCTCCATGGGAAAATCCAGAGAAAAGCCAGACTTTCTGATACTGAGGCTTTAGAAGCATAATCCTGATTGGAGGCTTTAAGGTAGGGTCTCGAAAAAACTAAGTGAAATGAATTGGAGGGTATTGACTGTGAGTTGTAGAAACAACTCCTTAAAATGCTCCGTATTTCCAGTGGTCTGTAAATACTGCCAGTTTGGACTTTTTTCACTAATAGCAGCTGTTTCATAGCAGGATTGCTAAATGGCTGAATCAAGAGTAGCTAAACAGCTATTACAAATGAAGAAAAGATTAATGTTGGGGTGCATACATTTTTTTCACATAGAACCAGTAGGAATAAAAAAACCTTACATTTTTATTAATTCTTTTTTAGGAAACAAGTGAATGATGGACCAAAGTGATGAGAGACGTAAGAGTACCTAGAATTTTAAGCACCCAGGTGATGTTAAAATTGTTCACATGCTATATGTGGTTTATGTGTTTATTAAAATTATTTGTCAATTCATACAAACTTCTGGGATACATTACAGTAGCTGGTTATTAAGGAGTTTCCGAGTACCTAAAAATTTGAAGGTGGTATAAGCAGCGAATTCTTAGATGTTCTGAAACTTAAGTACTACATATATAAACTTTCTACAGTTGGAGATATGAATTGAGGAATTAAAATAGCCATTGATTTTGAAGTTGGGGACCTTTTAATAAAACCTCCCAGGCTGAAAGCGGGGGGGGGGGGGGGGGTTTCTCCTTAAAAAGTCTTTAAACACTGCATAAAACTGAATTTTGATACTGTTAATGTTTCATTAATATCCCATCCAAAATGGACTGTTGTGATACCTTCATGTAGCCTGACTTCTTTTTCCGGACAGGAGCTATTATTGTAAAAATTGTCCATGTTAAATAGAAATCATCTTAAGGGTTCAAAAGATATTGTTTGGACTTAAGTCTTTTGAAAACTTTTTTCCTTTGATTTTTGGATTATTTATACAGTTTCCTTATTTTCTGAGACAAATTTCCTCTATGTCCGGACGAGGGCAGATAGTGATGCATCCTATTCTTGTTTCAGTTTAGCCGTATCATGCATGAAGGCCCCATTATGTTATGCAGAGTCACTGTTTATTATGCAACTGAAATTTGATCTTCAGTAAGGAGACTGAAGAGCTGTATTTCACACACTCCTTTTGATACAGGATCTGAAAAAGTAATAGCGCTGCAGATATGCCAGCACAGTGGAACAAAGGGAGAAGTGATTCACTTGAGGCAAGCCAAAGCTGATCCTGTCAATTTTAAGGAAAAGGTACTGGGAAGAGGTTTTAACTGAGCATTATAAAGTAAAACTGCTCTACTGCTCTGGGACCAAGCATTAGATCTGAACCCAGAAATAGCTGAAAACTTTGTTTTCCGGTCTGTTCAGATCAGTGATATAGAAGTGAAATAACTTGCTCTACTGCTACAAATGGTCATACTTTTATCATGTAAACCATTTTAAAAAATTATAATTTTAAGAAGTTAACCAGTTAAAACACTGGACATGTGCAGATTAAGTTAAGCTCTTGTGCAAACAGTAGTGAATCCACATTCTGTAAATTCAGGACAAGTGACTTTTTTTTAATTACAACTGTAAGCTGTAAAAATTACAAACTCTGCTTTTGGTTGCTACTTTTTATCATAGTGACACATCAGGATGAACTGCTTTTTGTTAGCTAGTTTATTTAAAGAAGCTGGCAGCAAATACTTGGAGTTTCATAATATTAAGCAACATTCACAAAGGTGTGGTTTAGATTGGGAGGTCAATGTGCATGTTCAAAATCACAGTAACATCTATTTGTTTTGATTGGGAAAACAGACTACTTGAATATGTTTCTGTTCCCACATCACACTGTTACATCTTGCAGTTCAGTTTCAGTGAAATTATGGTTCTCTTTAGTTTAAGTTGGAGGTGTCTTTTGGGGATTTTTAAGACTTGCTGTTTTGTGACACACATGTAGAACAAGGGGAGGGGAAAGAGGAGACTAGCTATCACTTCGCTTTATGGTGTGATAAAGTTGCTTTTACTCAAAAGTAAATATAAACTATTTAATTTGTATTTTTTTCTACTAAAAAGCAGGGAGTAAGCTACACAGACTTTAAACAATTTTACAAAAGGCTAATTGGTATCTGCTTACACACATCACCTCAGAGCTGGATTTTCTTGAGCATGAGCTAGAAGAAATTGAATTTAAGGGACTGTTTTTACAGTCTAGTTTTGTTGGCTAGCTTTGCTAGGCTTCTGTTCTCAGGGGAAGAAAGATAAGCTCATTTGGAGGAACTCTTGTCCCTGTTTACTGTGGTGAAAACAGCATTTCTTTACAAGCTGTGTATTGGAGCTTATATGCCATACTTGTGTACAGATGGGGTGGACAGATGCTTCTGCTCGTTGTATCAATTGTCAGGAAGCCCTGGTGAAGAATTGAGCAATCTTAATGGGGGAAAAACTGACTCTTCTCAAGTTCCAAGTTGTTTAGGTTTGGTGTTTGTTTTGGTTTTTTTTCTTTCAGCTAGAGATAGATGTATTGCAAGCAGAAACATACTTGACTGACGAAAGTACGCTGAGTATGATTAAAAAAACAAACAACACCAAAAAAACCCCCCACAAAACAAACACCCCCACCCCAAACCACCACAAAAAAACCTCCCAAAACCAACCAACCAACCAAGAAAAAACCTCAAACAAAAAAACCCTACAGAAATGCAGGTTAGAATACTTGTACCAGATCCAGCACTAGAAGTATCCAGCATCCCCAAGAATTGTGTTTGTGCAAGACAGCCCTTCATTCCTACATTGACTTGAGAAGGTCCTTATATGTAACTGTTTTATCCAGCTTCTTGGAAAACACAAACTGATGGCTTCATGATTGCTCTGGACTTTGGTTGATTGGTACAGTATAAAATAATGAAATCAAGACAACAGGATGCGATTTCTTGGTGCTGTAACCTGTTGGTTAACAGGATGACAATGCTTAATCCCACCTTTTGTTCCAGCCTTCCCAATTAGGCAGCTGCTTCCATATTAAGGAAAATCCTGTGTGCAGTCTTCATTTAGTGCATGGCATC